TATATATATAGATAGATAGATACAGATACAGAAAGAGATACAGATATGGATACTGTCTAGAGGGACCCCTGGCGACGTTAATGCCACATACGATTCCAGCTTCAACCCGACGTTTATATAGGGTTTAGGGGTGTAGGGTTTAGGGGTTGAGGGTCTAGGGGTTTACGGTCTAGGGTTTAGCCTAGATCTACACGTATGAATGCTGATATTATATGAATATGAGTATGACTAGAGGTGCAGCTGAAGTGAAGAAATATAGACTAATGATGCCTCGTCCGCTCGCGACATCAGGCGGGCGTAGAATGTACAGGCGTTTGGGGCTTCTGGGGGGGTGTCCTGGTTTCCCAAATTCCGGCAACTATAGACTCATCGACCTCGAGCATCTTGCACCAACGATTATACCTCGAGTCCTAAACTCTTCAGGTCTTTTGGGGGTTGAGTCATTGAAGGCAAACAGAGGGCATCCTCTACCCTATCCAGTCTGCGACCAAGTAGCAGTCTTTGCCATTGCGGTGTGGCCATTCGGCTCCCCGTACCTTAGAGCTTAGAGCTAGGGGTTTAATGTAGGGGCCTTAATAATTAGAGTAGAGTTGTGGGTATAATTATAATGAGCAACCCCCCCATACCCTATTCGTTATTAAGGCCCCTCTCATTCCTCAGGGCTCCTTATTGTTGAATTAGAGTACTAAGGAACTCCGGAAGCCCTAGACTACCTATTAAGGCCCCCACATTAGGGTTTAGGGTTTAGGGTTTAGGGTTTAGGGTCACAGTACGGGGGACTCTGCAAGCCGAAGGCCCGTCTGTGCCCAGACAACCCCCAAGATGAAGAACTAGGATGAGTCTTTCCCCATCCCCGCGGAAAACCAAAAACCCTAAAGCCTGAACTCTAAACCCTAAACCCTGAACCCTAGACCCTTCACCCTAAACCCAAAACCCTGAACCCTCAATCCTAAACCCTCAACCCTACCCTTGACCCTAAACCCTAGATCCCAAACCCTAAACACCCCCCGCCGGTTCTGAAGCCAATTAGGTCCGCGGGGCTGTATCAATGTGGACACCAGGCGCTCCTCCGAGGCTTGGGGCTTTGGTTTAGGGCTTTTGGTTTAGGGTTTAGGGCTTTTGGTTCAGGGCTTTTGGGTAAGGGTTTGGGGTTTGTAAGGGCTTTTGGCTTAGGCTTCAGGGCTTTTGGTTTAGGGTTTAGGGTTGTTGGTTTAGGTTTTAGGGTTGCAGGGATTGTTGCAATTTACGGATTCAGGCTTTGTGACGTACCTTCGGCTGCACTGGATACACAACGGAAGTATAATGAAGAGCCTGGAAATTTGCACCAGAAGCAATCAAAGTGTGAACATCCCAAACCTTAAGCCCGATGATGCTAAGATAGAAGCCTGAATAATTACCAATACTATGTGGGGGTTCCTTATTATAAGTATAGTATAAAGTACCCCACGACCCTATTCTAATTAATATTAAGGCCCCTGCATTACGATCATTTGGCTTACCGATGCCGCGCCTGGACGTCTCATTCAACTACGAAGTTTGGTTGATGATATAGTTCCTGCATTACCCATACTAAGGAATATACCATAATTCCCACAGTTTAGGGCCCGTAAGGCAATGCAGGATTTATATTATCATCAACAGTAGCTCAAGTGTGTTGCGCCATATCTTCTGTTGATCCATGCACGTCCACATGAACCCGCAGGTCTTGATGTACAGTAAAACATGAACCCCTACACCCTGAACGCTACATTGCATAGTAAAGCCCTATGAAGCCCCTAGCTGTGAGTCTAATCTAGGGGCCTCAAATATTAGAATAGGATTTTGGGGGGCCCATTATACTATGATTATAATAGGGAACACCCAAAATGGTATAGGTAATACTTTCAAAGCCCCTAAAGTAGAAGCCAGAAAGTTGGAACATCATTATCCTCATGCCCTTGAAGCAAAATAGAAGGGATTCTAGCACTAATCATCTTAAACTCATCTTCCAACTTTCTGGGGTTCGCTTTTTTTTGTAATCTTTCCAGATAGCTCGAAGGACCCTGCGACCCCAAGGGCCTGGGCACCGTCAGAACGACGAACGTCCAACTCGTGGCGCATGATGGCCTTGGTCTTACCGGTCATACCGGTTCAGGATTCAGGGTTTAGGGTTTCGGGGTTTAGGGTTTAGGGTTTCGGGGTGTAGGGCTTTAGGGGTTTAGGGTTTTAGGGTGTAGGGTTTGGGGTTTAGGGTTTCGGAGCTCGGATACCTGCATGGTAGGTTGTGGGGTCATGTGTACAATAGTAAGCCGCTATATCAGGTAACCGTGCTTTTGGGGTATCATGAACAAGACCCGTGGACTACGGCGACACGGCGACACAAACCTTTGTAACTTGCCCTCCCCCTAAACCCTAAACCCTAAACCCCACGTCGTTCCCCACAGAAGGCTTCGCAATGCTCACACCCTACCCATAGGCCCCATAGTAGTACCTTTTTGGGATTACCTAATAGGATCCTAAATATAGGCGGAGCACTTTTTTTTTTTCCTAACGTTGGCGGTCCCCGGTTTCCCTTGCTAAGGTTGGCGGTCCCGTTTTGATTAGAACTACTATGCACTGCAGCATTTCCTATTGTTTTGCATCTAGCTATTAGACAACTGCAATGAGCAAGGTGGCCTTTTGAGCTAGGGCTGG